TCTCACTCCTCCGTTCGCGCCAGCATGGCGGGGATGTCTCGAGCGGTTTGCCTGTTCGTGCCCCCAGCATCCTCCGCTTCCGGAGCCGATTGTGAGGGGGTCTCAGGCGAGGCGCCCCCAAGGGGGAGCCGCCAGGGCGTATCTCACTCCTCCGTTCGCGCCAAAATGGCGGGGATGTCTCGAGCGGTTTGCCTGTTCGTGCCCCCAGCATCCTCCGCTTCCGGAGCCGATTGTGAGGGGGTCTCAGGCGAGGCGCCCCCAAGGGGGAGCCGCCAGGGCGTATCTCACTCCTCCGTTCGCGCCAAAATGGCGGGGATGTCTCGAGCGGTTTGCCTGTTCGTGCCCCCAGCATCCTCCGCTTCCGGAGCCGATTGTGAGGAGGTCTCAGGCGAGGCGCCCCCAAGGGGGAGCCGCCAGGGCGTATCTCACTCCTCCGTTCGCGCCAGCATGGCGGGGATGTCTCGAGCGGTTTGCCTGTTCGTGCCCCCAGCATCCTCCGCTTCCGGAGCCGATTGTGAGGGGGGTCTCAGGCGAGGCGCCCCCAAGGGGGAGGCCGCCAGGGCGTATCTCACTCCTCCGTTCGCGCCAGCATGGCTGGGATGTCTCGAGCCGGTTTGCCTGTTCGTGCCCCCAGCATCTCCGCTTCCGGAGCCGATTGTGAGGAGGTCTAGGCGAGGCGCCCCAACGGGGGGAGCCGCCAGGGCGTATCTCACTCCTCCGTTCGCGCCAGCATGGCGGGGATGTCTCGAGCGGTTTGCCTGTTCGTGCCCCCAGCATCCTCCGCTTCCGGAGCAGATTTGGAGGATGTCTCGAGCGAGGTGCTCATTTGGGAGCGGCCGTCGTGCCGAGCCAGCCCCCAGGATTGGGCACAGTCAGTCTCAGTCTCAGTCTCAGTCTCAGCCTCCTCCTCCTCCTCCCTCTCGCTCTCGATGTATGGATGTGTGTGAATATATATATATATATATATATATATATATATATATATGAAACTCCTCCGTTATCGAGCGAGGGAGGCGCTGGTTATCGCACCACCGGCGGCCCAGACTGCGAGGACGTCTCGAACGGTTTGCTCAGCTTGCTGGCCAGACCCGTGGGCGTGGATTCTCAGGATGCCACAGGAAGCTCCAGCAGGCTCCAGGAGGCCCCAGGTGGCCGCATGAGGTCCCAGGAGGCACCAGGAGGCCATGGGAGGCCACAGGAGGCCCCAGGAGGCCACAGGAGGCTCCAGGAGGCCCCAAGAGGCTCTAGGAGGCCCCAGGAAGCACCAGGAGGCCCGAGGAAGCCACAGGAGGCCAGAAGAGGCCACAGGAAACGCCAGGAGGCATCAGGAGGCCCCGGGAGGCCCCAAGAGCCCCCACGAGGACCCAGGAGGCCTCAGAAGGCCACAGGAGTAGCTCCAATCCCCGGCGATTTACACATGTTTCCATAGATTGGGCCTCCCCTGGAGTGCGAATCCTTTGTGTGTTACGTATGTTTCTTTAAAGTGTCCTTCTCCTGCGTATTCACCCCTAAGTGTTTCACAGAGGTTCCTATAGATTGGGCCTCCCCTGGGGCACGAGTCCTTTGTGTTTTACGCGTGTTACTGCAGACTGCCCCTCTCCTGTGGCTTCAATCCGAAAGGTGTTACGTCTGCCCCTATAGATTAGGCCTCTCCTCTAGGGCTCCCAACTTCGCGCTTCGCGCTCCGCGAAGCGCGAAGCGCGAATAACTTCGCGCTCTCGCGCCGCCCCCCCAAAGGGAGAAAAGGAGGACGAGGAGGAGGGGGAGGAGGAACGAGGACCGCGAAGCGCGAAGCGCGAATAACTTCGCGCCCTCGGGGGAGCCCTTGGTTACTGCAGACTGCCCCTCTCCTGGGGCACGAGTCCTCCCCATGAGGCCCTACGGCAGGTTCGTGTCGTGTCGACCCCAGCGTTGGTTCCCGACACCGCGCTGGATCGTTCAACCTTGAACGATCGGCCGTCTCCGCAACGTCCAATCGTTCAACATCGACCGATTCTGGGTCGCCGCCGGCGTTCAACGTTAAACGCCGCGGGCGGGGTCGCCGACGGTCGACACGACGCGAACCTGCCGTAGGAGGATCCAGGAGGCTCCTGGAGGCCCCAGGAGGCCACGCGAGGCCCCCGGAGTATTCAGGAGGCCACGGGAAGCCCCGGGAAGTCTCAGGAGACCCCAGGAGGCCCCAGGCTCATGCGCAGAGACGCTCTAATACAACTGACACTCATTCACACTCCAACTCATTCACATATATATATATATAAACATACATATATATATATACACACATATATATACATATATATATAAACACTATTTATATATATGTATATATATATATATATATTCACTCCCAGACTGTCAATACTCAAGTCCGTTTCTGTTCGAAAACTCTTGCGCCTAGACACTCACGGCGGATAGGTCCATGCTAATAGATGCACACATGGGAACTCCAAGCTGTGAATAATTGTTGTTGAACTCCCATTTACGAAGAATAGGTATTGTTAATCTCCCCTTGTCCTAATGAAGTGCCCATCCCGGGGCTCGCACCCTGCTTTCAAACAGGGAACGCCTTGAGCCACAAACTGGGCGGCGGGGACCCAACTTATAACAGCAACGGCACTTGTCTGATGCTTCCTCACAACGTAGTTTGAAATCAAGCTTTCGCTTGAAACTTCTTCACCATGTATTCAGACATCGCGCTATCGCTTGAGACTTCCTCGCACATGATTCAAACGCCGTTCCTCGACACGGGCGGCGGGACGCCGAAGTACAACAACAACGGTTGCCGCCGGATACTTTTTCACTATGTAATGAGAAAACAAACTTTCGTCTGAGACTACTTCCTTGCAATATACTCAGGAATCGCGCTGTCGCTAAAAAAAACCTTGCAGTGTATTCAGATGCCGCCCCTCGAAACTCACGAATCGCGCGTCCGTTTCGGATTTCCTTCCGATTGTCCCGGGAGTTGCGCTCCCGATAAAGATGACCTTGCGACTCAAACAGGATTCACGTTGCAACGACCCGCCCGCTCGACCCGCCCGTCGGGACCCGCCCGCCCGACCCAGCCGTGAGGGACTGCAGTCGCCCCTCGCTGCCCTTCGCCCGCTCTCGATGCCCATCGCTGCCCGCAGCGGTTCCGCGGTCGCCGTCGCTCGCGCCATTCGTGGCCCCGTTGCTGCCCTCAGCGGCCCCGCCGCTGTTTTTGTGGCCCCACATTAAAAGTTGTTCGTGGCCCCCGTTCGCTCGCGCCCGTCGTGGCCCCATGTGCGTGCCATTCGCGGCCCCGCCGTCGCCGTTCGCAACCCCCTTGCTGCCCTTCGATGGCCCGCCACTACCCTCAGTGGCCCCGCCGTCGCCATTTTTGGCTCCTATGTACGCATGCTCTTCGTGGCCCCCGTTCGCTCGCGCCCGTCGTGGCCCCACATGCATGCCTCTCGCGGCCCCGCTGGCCCCCCTTTCGGCCCCTCGCTGCCCTTCGCGGCCCTGGCGCTACCCTCAGCGGCCCCGTCGCTGACTCTGTGGCTCCACATTAAAGGCCCTTCGCGGCCCCCGTTCGCTCGCGCCCTTCGTGGCCCCGTACGCATGCTGTTCGTGGCCCCGCCGTCGCCCTTCGCGCCCTTGCCCTCTGCAGCCCCATGCATGCCCTTCGCGACCCTCGCTCGTTCGCGCCCGTCGCGGCCCCGCCTGCACGCCCGTCGCGGCCCCGCCGTTGCCCTTCGCGGCCCCCTCGGCGTCCTTCGCGGCCCCGCCACTACCCCCAGTGGCCCCGCCGCTGCCCTCTGTGGCACCGCATTACATGCCCTTCGTGGCCCCCGCTCGCTCGCGCCCTTCGTGGCCACATACGCACGCCCTTCGTGGCCCCATTGTCGCTCTTTTCGGCCCCCTTGCTGCCCCTCGTGGCCCCTTCACTCTTCTTCTTGGCCCCGCTGCCGAATTCGTCTTCGTCGTCGTCGTGGTCGGTCACCTATCCGTCCCTCTGGGGTCGGCTGCCGCCGGTCAGCGCTGCCGCTGGCCAGGCAAACGGTCCGCGGCCGCCCCGCCGTTTACCGGGATCCGGCCTGCAAGGAAGAAGCATAAACACCCAAAAGGCTGGACATCGGTGGTTTGGGAGATACAGGTTGAATGACACTCGAGCAAATCAAGAGCGAACAGCATTACAATGATTGGTATTGTTGCTGATGTTGTTGATGTTGATGTTGTTGACATTGTTGGTGTTACTGTTGTTGTTGGTGTTGGTGGTGTTGTTACTGTTGATGTTGGTGTTGTCGATGTCGTCGTCGCTGCTGCTGAAAACTTCCAACCGAAAATAACGATTGATCGCCTTTCCGGGGCACAATGTGTTCCAGGACTTGCACCGTGTTATTTCAAGGAGCAAAGTTTGGTTCTCAGGACTGTGCTGTTGGCCCCAAGATTACAAGAACAAGAACAACAGTGGTTCCCGCCTGATGCTTCCTCACAACTGATTCCCATATCGGGTTCTCGCGAGGGACTTGCTCCCAATGTATACAGGAATCTCGTTCTCGCGTGGGACGCCATTGAAATTTATACAGGCGCCGCGCCCTCGACACTCAAGAATCAATTTGTCGCTGTGGAATTCTTTCCAGTTCCCCTCGCAATTCATACGAGAATCACGCTACCCGCACGTTAGGGTCTACCCGCCCGATCTGCCCGTCTGGTTCTGCCCCTGTTTCTAGCTCCCCGGCTAATATTTTTTCTCGTGTTGCATCCTCCTCCTTCCCCCTTGCCCCTTCCATCCGTCCGTCCTCCTTTGCCCTGCCTTAGGGGCTGCACGCAACACTCATAGCAGGTAAGAATGACATATACCCCCCCGGGACTCGATCGAAGACGAAGAAGGCGGGTATCGAGGGTTTGGGGCGTACGTGTTGAGTGGCCCGCGAGCAGATTAGAGCAAACAGTCTGAAAATGACTGGCGTTGTTGTCGGTGCTGTTGTTGCTGCTTTTGTTGGTGGCATTATGTTTCCTGTTGCTCTGGCCCCTCGAGCCTCCTCGTAGCGCCCCAGCCTCAGCAGGGCCTCCGCAGACATCCGCCGGGCGCTGGCGTTCGTGGCCCCCCCCGGGGCGGCCAGGCTCGAGTCGTAGGCCGCCAGCGCCCGACCGAGCTCCTCCGCCGCGTTGCCGCGCGCAGCCCCCAGGATGTACCTCAGGAGGGGAAGACAGGCGAGAGCCATGGCACCAGGACTCGGCGGCGAGCGGAGGGGGCGAAGCACCCTGCAGTGTACCCAACCCATCGACGCCAAGGGATGCCTTCAAGGTATGCCGACAATGGTGTAGCTGCACCACTGCAAAAGACGGCGCATGGCGGACACACACACACACACACACACACACATATATAAATATATATATATATATATATACAAGACTGCAGTGGCGCTTCGCGCCATGCACCTTGGTCCTTGAAGTTTGGTACGCAGGCGGAATAGCAAGAAGGTCAAGCTGACAATTAGAGATAACTCCTTGTTGTCTTTTCCGGCATCGCCGCTATAATAATGTTATTCGTTATCCTGCCTCCATGCTTCTTTTTCCTTACTTTCGCCGTACCCTGCGCATTCTCCCCATCCTCCTCAGCTCTTTTTTGCGGAGGCTCCTCCTTGGAGAGCCTCTGGGAGCCTCACAAAAGTTGTTTCAGGCTTTCTTAAGGCCTTCTGGAGGCCTCCTGGGCGTATTCTGGGGGCCTCTGGGGACTTCCCCGGGCCACCCTGCCTCCAACCGCGGTCTCCCTGAACGACAGGGTCACGATTTGGAATGCTTCGGAGGGTGTTTTGGGGCCATCTTGGGCCGCCATGGGGCTCTCAGAGGGCCATCTTGGACCCGTGTTGTGCCGTTTTGGGGTTCTCTTGGACTGCCTGGACGCCCTTTCGGATAGTTGTGGGGCGATGTTGGAGCCTCCCAGGCGGCTTCGGACGCCCAGAAGACCGCCGTCTTGGAGCGTCGGGAAGCAGAAAAGAGGAGAACCCCAAAATTCAGCACAGCCGACAGAAAATCAAAGATTTGTGCCTCCTGGGGCCTTCTTGGGAGTGCTCTTGGAGGCCTCTGTGGGGCCGTCCTGGAGGCCTTTTGGGCCATCTTGAGGTCACGTCGGTTACTCTTGGAGCGCTCTTGTGCTGTCTTGGGGGTCTCTGGGACGTCTCCGATGACCCCCCTGATCGCCCTAGGTGTGCTGGGAAGGCTTGGCAAAACGCCCTGCGAGGCCCGGGGGGCCGCTTCGAGGCCCGTCTGGAGGGTTCCAAAGCCTCAGATCCCGGGAATCCGGTTTCGGGGGGGGGGGGACGGGTTTTCCCCCCGCCCGGGCTTGTAAACATATAAGAAGAGGAATAGGAATATATATATATATATATATGTGTGTGTGTGTGTATTATACAAATGTATAAGCATGTATGCATACATACATACATACATACATACATACATACATACATACATACATGTATGCATGCATGCGTGCGTGCGTGCGTGCGTGCATGCATGCACGCATACATACATACATACATGAATGCGTGCATGCATACATCCATACATAAATACATGCATGCAAACATACATACATACATACATACATACATACATACATACATACATACATA